ACCTCTCTCTGTAAGGACATAGTTTCTCAGCTGATTCTAGTTGCCAGGTCCCATGCTTCTGTCTTACATCTTATGCTTTTTTGAGACTACTCTTATAATCAGCAACATTTTATGCTTATGAAGGTTGTGCTAAGACTCCTTACGGTATAATACAAAACGATATAAAAATTCATGAAAACAAGCAGGTGAAAGTAAAAATGCATTACATCACTCTTTTTGTAGATTCCACTGTTGACCAGGATTCACTAGTAACAGGCCAAAATTATCTAGAGCAGATTTTTGTGAAGCTGTGTCTATCCATACTGGAATATTTTGAGTGGAATTGTAGTTGAGAATAGATGGTTGTCTTGCTGCAGGTAGCACAGTTATCTGCTATATTGTTTTGAAACAGGCAGAGCTGATTTTAGGATGTCATTGTGATGTTTAAGTTGTAAGAAAATACTTACGCTGTTAGTTGTTTCTAGAAGATTGATGTGGTCTTTGGGTAATATTTTGATCAGCATCTTTCCTTTATGGTTTTGGGTACATCCAGTATTTGTTTCTGAAGTCCTGTTCCCAGCATTCCTCTAAAAAACTATAGAATCATAGAATGGTTTGGGTTGGAAGGGATCTTAAAGATCATCTGGTTCAACCCCCCCTGCCATAGGCAGGGACACCTTCCACTAGACCAGGTTGCTCCAAGCCCCATCCAGCCTGGCCTTGAACACTACCACAGCTTCTCTGGGCAACCTGCTCTAGTGCCTCACCGCCCTTGTAGTGAAGAACTTCTTCCTAATATCTAATCTAAATCTCCCCTCTTTCAGTTTGAAACTGTTACCCATCATCCTATCACTACCCTCCCTGATCAAGAGTCCCTCCCCACCTTTCCCGTAGCCCCCTTTCAGCACTGGAAGGCCGCTATGACATCTCCCTGGAGCCTTTTCTTCTCCAGACTGAACAACCCCAGCTCTCTCAGCCTGTCCTCACAGGGGAGGTGCTCCAGCCCCCCGAGCATCTTTGTGGTCTCTTCTTGACTCGCTCAAGCAGGTCCATGGCTTTCTTACACTGGGGGCCCCAGAGCTGGATGCAGCACTGCAGGTGGAGTTTCGCCAGGGCAGAGGGAGGGAATCATGTCCCTCGACCTGCTGGGCACACTGCTTTTGATGGAGCCCAGGATGCGGTTGTCTTTCTGGGCTGCAAGTGCACACTGTTGGCTCATGTTCATCCTATCACCCACCAGCACCCCCAAGTCCTCCCCAGGACTGCTCTCAATCCACTCATCGCCTAGCCTGTATCTGTGCTTGGGATTGCCCCGACCCAGGTGCAGGACCTTGCACTTGTTGAACTTCATGAGGTTCACAGGAGGGCCCACCTCTCTGGTCTGTCAATCTGGACAATTGGAAATAGCTCACAGGCAGTTAGCTAAATTTGATTTCAGAAAATATGCAGTGTTTCTTTCACTTTATGCTTGTTACGTGGATTTATCCCTATCCCTAACTAAACCAGCTGATTTTTTTCCTTTTCCATTTTTTTTTTACTTCCTTTTTGCTGTCTTAGTTCTTTAAATAGCTCTCTAAGATCAGACAAACACTGATTTTTGGGCAAGAGAGTGTGTGAGGAAGCAGAAGAGTGCAAGGGATGGGAGGGGGATCAGGGAACAGGAGTGGACTGAATGTGCATCCTCAGCCAAGCAGTCACTGTCAATTTTAGTGAAGTAGTCATGCTTATTGTACCCTGAGCTAGTAACATCTGCCATGTCTTGCTTGCTTTGCTACAATGACTTCAGGACCCCAGAGTCAGAAAAAATTAGGACATTTCAGAAGCCTGTTTTCAGTTATGCACCTGATTATCTTTATTTTCTTTAAATCTTTTAGTCACATCTGTTAAAAAAACAGAGAACCTTTATCTTCCCTCCATCAAATATGACTATGTCTTCTAGTAGTAATCAACAGGATCTGTTGTTTCCAACTAAATATTTTGGGTGGTTGACATGTGCCCACAGTTCTCTACAAAGGTGCCTGAATTTAGAGACCCTGGAGCCTCCAGAATTCTTAGTTTAAGATTCCTGTTTCTGTTACTTAGCTGTGGTGTGCAGCTGGAGTCAATCTCACGGGATGGAGACCTTTGGAGCAGGAGCCTGGGAATGGGCAGAAACTGGATCCTGGACGTGATCCCCTCACCTGTGATAGGGAAGTGGAAGGCGAGAACAACAAAAGTAACCATACATCTCCTGAAAATAAAAAGGTCAGAAAAGAAAATGTATTCTTTTTTTCCCCCTCTGGTGTTTTTTCTCGTTCCATCCTTGACATGCCCCCTCTCTCAATACCTTTGTACTATGCTATGTAATGCTTTAACTTGTACTTCTGAGGCATTATCTTGTGGGGCACAGTTGTGATATTCTGGCTCTTCAGTAACTTTCTGTGTGATTTGGTCAAAACTTTCCAACTTCTGCTTTTGAAATGTTTGGAATTTTGAAAAAAATCCTAATAATAAGGGTAGTTAAGTGCTTGATGAGGGTGCTAGCAAGATTATAGCGTCCTCATCACTCTAAATTGAAAAAAAAATAAAAATCAGGCAAAGCTTTGTTAAAAAGAACATTGATACAGCAGAGTCCGTGTGTCTGTCTGGTTCAGAATTTGAAGCTCTTGAGATTTATTCTAGCTCTGTTTTTTAGTAGTCTTAAGTGTTTGGGTTTTTTTAAGAACCAAACTGTAATTTGCAGATAATAATACAATATTTTATCCTTTCTGTTTTGTGGGGTTTTTTTTCCACATTTATCTTACGCTGCTGCCCTGTAGTCTTCTGAGAGCAGCTCGCTGAAGCTGGTAGGTTGAGTGCATCCCAGCTCCATGGTGCTCTGTCTGAAGTGAATGTTCAGTGATACATTAGTCAGACATCTCAGAAGGAAATTAATGGCCAAACTCCTCTTGTCCTAAGGAGCCAGATAGGCTCTTTGGCCAGTGTTCCAAATACTAGTGCGGCAACGTGAATGAAATTTGCATAGCTCATATTGTTTGTTTGCATCAGCTGGGAAGAGACTTAGCTCTTTGAAACCACCATTGTAGTATTTGCATGGGTAAATGTTGCCAAGCACTAATATGCTCAGTCTGATCTGAGAAGACCACTGATTCTACCCGTGTGTTTACTCTTCTGAAGGCAAAGGAGCTCCATGAAATGGATGCCACGTCCAGTCGTGTCTGGATTCTCACCAGTACTCTGTCAACAAGTAAAGTTGTCATTATTGATGCGAATCAGCCTGGCACAGTAGTGGACCAGTTCACTGTCTGCAATGCTCATGTGCTCTGCATCTCCAGCATTCCTGGTAAGTGGGGCCCAGGCACTGGCTGTGATCTGCATAGGGTCACCTGCTCCACTGAGGAGTGACAAATGTGGCATCCTCGCTTCAGATCTAACCGTTGGACCCTCCTGCATTCTGCAGTTGTCTCTGAAAACCATAACTCAGATCTTGCCTTCTTGTAGGACCTTTCTGTGGAGATCCTGCACTGTTGAATGTTTAGTAAGTGTTTCCTTTGGCACGTAAACGATGGTTCTTGGGAGCAAAAGTGAGCCTTGCCCAAATTTGTGAGGGCTCTGTAGCTGGCCTGGATGGTGATGCTAGGGATGAGGCAATTTGCCGTGATACTGACTCATGCTGTGGTGCCTCCTCAGGGTTGTGAACCCTGAGGGTCAGCATCTTCCATCCGTATGGTTACCTCAGGACTACTGCTACATTTAAATTAGCAGTGACAACTAGATTTATGGGAGAATCTGTTCTTTGCCCTTCAGCGGCCAGTGAGAGTGATTATCCTCCAGGCGAGATCTTTCTGGAGGGAGATCTAAATCCTGAAGAGTCATCTGGAACAGATGGTGTCTTGGCAGGAATCACTCTGGTGGGCTGTGCAACCCGCTGCAATGTGCCACGAAGCAACTGCTCCTCGCGTGGTGACACACCTGTGCTGGACAAGGGACAGAGTGAGTTTTGGGTCATAAAACTTAATGGCAATTATAGCTAGTCCCATACAAGCTTACAGTCTTGCAGTCGCATCCTTGTCCCTGATTTAACTATTTCAGAAGCCTCGAGAAGTTTCTTGATGTGGTACAGGAAGACCAAAGGCACTTTTGGTGCATTTCTCTTTAGAGCCCTCCTTTTCTCTCTGAGCAATCTACATCCTGCAGTCTGGTTGCAGGGGTCATATAGCAGAGTATTTTGGACAGGTGATATATTTGCCCTGCTACAGTTGCTTCTTTTCTTATTGCTTTCTCCTCTGACCCATGTCTTCTTGTGAAGTCAGTTAAGCCTGTATGAAAACTATCATGCCCTTTGTGACTCCATACTGCAGTGGGCAGCCTTGGAGAACTTCTGATGTTTTGCTAGTCATAGATTGTGCCTAACTTTAAAATAGCCTCTGTTCCCCATTCGAGCAAAGACTGCACGAGCTGAGTCTGTGGTGCAGGCTCAGGGCTTGATTGAATTTGGCAAGGAAGGATAGATTAAAAAATCAACGGCCTGATTTCTGTAGAGTAGCTTACCAGGTCCTTCTCCAGTATGTCTTACACTGTTCTTTGTCTTTTAGGTGAGGTGGCTGCTGTCTGCAATGGGAAGATCAACCAATCCCAGTCTACTGAGGAGGCAACAGAAGCTACAGAGGTATCGGAGAACGGCACAAGCGAGGCAGAGCCTGCTCAGGCCCGGCCTGGGCCCCTCACGGAGCACGTGTTTACAGATCCAGTCCCTGCACAGGCACCTCTTAGGCAGAACGGGTAGGCAGTCTGGGGCCAAAGTGCCAGTTCAGTTATTTATCAGCTCTGTTTTCATAAACTTTCTGATATGAGAACCAGCCTGAGCTTCTGGTAAAGTGTCAAACTTTTTTCAGTTTTGTGCAAAATACCATAACAGATGGGATAATAGGGAGAGAAAGAAATGAAATTAAAATAAACATGGTTCAGCCTCCAGCAGACAGTGTCAGCTCTTTAAGTGCAAATATTTGATCTCTCAGTATGAATTTAGACCTGCTGTTGAGACAGCTCTTCCAAAGTACATGTACACTTAATGTTCTGACTGAAGGAGCTTATTGATTCATGTGTAAAAATGATGATTGATTTATTCTAGTACCTTTTAAGGTCTGTAAAGATAATGAAGAAAGCATATTCACCAGCCAAAAATTCTTAAGACTGATGTGATAAGTCTGATGTGATGGCTTGAGGAGCAAGGTGGAAGTCTTGGATAGAAATTGTTCCTAAATGATCAAGTTGTTTCTGTTGAAGTTGGAAATGAACAGAGAAAATCCTGTTTATGTAGTAGTACTGCATTGTTTATGTAGTAGTACTGCCAAACACTAAGTTAAGTTCTGTAGAGTTGGAGTACTTGCTATTTGTATCGGTAGGGAAAAAAGAAAGTTTTGCAAGTTGGAGATTCAGAAGTGAAGCAATTAAAAAACACTGAAGAGAAGGAAGCTATTTGTGTATACAAAGGCCTTTACCTGCTTGTGAATGCCAGACTGTGAGGATAGGTGGGTATTGCTGCTACTAAAGCCTCTAACAATGTTCCTTTGCCTCTTCAGGGAGAATGGGCAGCTGAAGACAGAGTCAAGCACAACACTGCCAGATCAGGAGTTGAATGGGGATGCTGCTGGGACTTGCAACAGTGCTGCCCCCACCATGTGGCTGGGAGCACAGAACGGCTGGTAGGTTCCCCTTGGCCTGGCAGATCTCTTTGTGACCTCCATTCTCTGGGCTCCATTGTTCATGTCCACACACCTTTAGTTCACTTCTTGTTTCTGGAGTAGGTTTTCATTGCTCGTTGTTGTTCTGAGCCCTTGGCTTATCATAGGCAGAGGGATTTAACCTCAGTTTTTTGCCTAACGTCCCCCTTTCCTACCAGAAGAAAAAGACTCAAGCCTAGTCAGGCTGCAGGTGTGGGGCCTTGCTGCTAACCCTCCACGGTTTGTCCTTTCTCACAGGCTTTATGTGCACTCGGCTGTATCCAACTGGAAGAAGTGTCTGCACTCGATAAAGCTGAAGGACTCTGTACTGAGTCTAGTGTAAGTATGCGTGCCAAGGGACACTGAAGGGGAGGGTTCGCTGCCTAAGCGATATTTTAGATGGGGGTAGCAGCTCTTTGACAGTCATCTTTTTCTTTGCTCTTCTAAGTGCATTGGTTTGTGAGGAAAGTTTCCCAAGGTTTTTGTTATTGGAAAGCCTCATACCAAGCCATTTTCCTGCTCAACTGCAGACCAGACCCAATTCAGTGAATAAGGTACTAAATGAGATTATCAGTATCAGGAGGAAGTAAGTGGGGAAGAGAAAGGCAAACTTTCACTGGGGTGTAAATTAGGTGGAATTTGTTGAAATTGATGGAGTTTGTAGTGGGAAGAAGTTAACCTGAACAGGAAGTTTATGGATGATCTTACTACAATGAAATTAGAAGGCATGACCCTTGGCCCTTGCAGGATGTTCCTGCAAATGCTAAACTGAATGGGAATTGTAGAGGGAACATAAAGATAGTGTGCAAGGATGTCAGAAAGGATTTGTTAGTCCCTTACTTCTACAGATTTTTCTAAGTATTTACTTTCCTGTGATTTTAGGCATGTGAAAGGGAGGGTTCTTGTTGCTCTGGCAGATGGAACACTAGCCATATTCCACCGGGGAGAAGGTAAGAATCAATGTAATAAGAGAAAACCAAACTCGGCTGAAAGTGTAGCAATGGATTAAATGCTATTCTGAGTCGAGAAGGAAAGGTGCTGGCTTGCCAGAGTACAAACATATGGTTAAAATGCATAGCTATTATAGACAGGTAATCCTTGTCCTAAGACAGCTAAGGCATACTTGAATACCATTTCCCAAGCCTTTTGGAACAAACCTGTGTGTGTGCTCTGTGTTGCACATGTGCAGTAAATGCAACACTTTTAGGAATACATACGCTGTGCTGTTGTTTGAGGCATGCTTGGGAAGTTTAATGCACTTGGGCCATATCGGTGTTAGCAAGCGTTCACAAATCAGCTGTAACAGGGCATGCACGGGGAGCTCCACACAGCTCAGGATCTCCCCAGGCAGATCATCTGTGCAGCTGCAAATAGGCATGCTGCTTCCCAGAGAAGTTAGACTCTGTATACGCAGTAAAAATTGATCACTGCATACACAGCAGGCAGAGCTAGGATTCTCTGGAAGTCTGGAAATCCAAATAAATGGAACCTTTGCATTATACGTGGTCAGTTTTTCTTGTTGCAAAAAAGAGAGATGTCTTGAGTAATCTGACGTGCCTTGATCTTGTCACTTCAAGGTATTTTTTGAATTCTGTATTTCTTGTCCTCTTCACTGTTGTAGGCTTTATTTCCTTATGACTTGAGCAGTTCCTGAGCTGTGTTCATGCCCGAAAGCACATGGGCATTTGCTAACTGTGACTAATGTTCACGTATTAAGAATCACAGAAAGTCGGAGGTTGGAAGGGACCTCAAAAGATCACCTAGTCTAACCCCCCTGCCAGAGCAGGACCACCTAGAGCAGGTCATACAGGAGCGCATCCAGGTGGGTTTTGAATGTCTCCATGGAAGGAGACTCCACAACCTCTCTGGGCAGCCTGTCCCAGTGCTCTGCCACCCTCACAGTGAAAAAGTTTTTCCTTATGTTCACGTAGAACCTCCTGTGCTCCAGCTTGCACCCGTTGCCCCTTGCCCTGTCATTGGCCGTCACCGAGAAGAGCCCAGCTCCATCCTCCTGACACTCGCCCTTTACATATTTATAAACATTAATGAGGTCACCCCTCAGTCTCCTCTTAGTTGTTCATTGAGTAGCAGTTTATCCAGCAAGTGAAATATAGAGATTTCTAGTTTTGTGTAATCTAAATTTTGATTGGGCCACTGACACATAAAAATTGTTGCCATCAGAAATAGGAGAAAGCTTCATGACATAAAAGCCACCTGTCTGTGAAGGACACAGCATCTGCCTGGTTAGTTAGAAAATAAGTGTGAGAGAAGGGAGATTGGTTCCTTATCTGTGATTTGACACTTTGGGGAAATGAGGTTGTCCGTCTGTGATACGAGGAAGCCTCACCACAAGGGCTGTGTTCCTTTTAAGTTTCTGTATAGTCATGTTAGGCTGTCTTTCTTCTTCCCCTGCTGTTTTTGTTGTACTTGTTAGAGAAGCCTGTTCACTTCATTATGATAAAAGCCTGATTTTGAGAGCTTTCAGACGACAAAACTAAACTTCATTGCCATGTGTTTTGTAAGTATGAGGCTGTCCTCAAATTAGTACTGTGCATTCATGGGAAGTTCACGGGCATAAACAAAATGAACATTTGAGTATGAGCTAAGCCTGCGTACCTAGATACACGTGGAAAGGTAGATGATTCGTATTGTATACTGCTGTGTCATGAAGGAGATGCATCTCTCCACACTTGTTTTTCACCATAGATGGTCAGTGGGATCTCAGTAATTACCACCTAATGGACCTCGGTCACACTCACCATTCCATCCGCTGCATGGCTGTTGTGTATGATAGAGTCTGGTGTGGCTACAAGAACAAAATCCACGTTATCCAGCCTAAGACAATGCAGATTGAGGTAAGAGAGCAAATGTGTGCGTATGCATGCACATGCTTGTGTCGTATTTATTGTTATAGCTGATTTCTGCTGCAGTGTATGGAAAGACAAAACATTTGTCTGGTCATTGGTGACTGTAGGACCCAAACTGTCAATCTGGGTCACATTATGACCCAGTCTGCCAGGCGGGTATTTATTCATTCCTCCCTTTGTAGAGCTTAAATTTTAGATAAGTCTAAACTGAGCATTTTCTTTGCCTTTACTACTGAGTCTATTAGGCCACATACTGTACAAATGTGCGCGCTTTACAGCTGCCCTTCATATGTGGTCTGAGAATTCTCCATCTGTAGGCATTGTGGCACAAAGAAAGAGTAGTTAGCAAGCCCCAGTGATGCCAGTTGCCTAAGAAAAAAAATTACATTTAGAATTTTTTGGTTGAAATTGACTGCAGTGGTGTTGGTACAAACCTATTTGACAGTGCTTGGAATAATTCTAATGAAAGGGAGGAGAAGTGCCAGATCTGAGGTTCACATCCATGAGCCAAGGCAGTTTGATCTTTGGAGTTTATACTGGAGTTGTGTGTTTTCCTTTTCTACCAAGCATATTGAAAGCTCTTGGCTTCTAAATGTTCTTGCTCCTGAAGTTGTCTGCAAAGACCATAATCTCTGCAGAGCTGCTGTAGAGCTCATCATTTCAAGGGAGGAATTTTCTGTATGCTGTAATGAACTTCTGAGGTCAGCTGGCATTAACACATTTTCTCCAAGAGCTTTGAAACCCAAAAAGGTGATCTCCGTTGAGGAAAATGGAGTATACATGTAGATAATGGCAAACCTTTTGTGAACTCACATTGGTCCACCTGTTTGGCATTTCAGAAATCCTTTGATGCCCACCCTCGGCGAGAGAGTCAGGTGCGACAGCTGGCATGGATTGGAGATGGAGTATGGGTTTCTATCCGCCTGGACTCCACTCTGAGGCTTTACCATGCCCACAGCCATCAACATCTGCAAGACGTCGACATTGAGCCTTACGTCAGCAAGATGCTAGGTGAGGCAGTAGGGACTGTCAGTAAATGGTCTGTTGCTTACTGAGGTCAGAGAGAAATCAAAATTCATTAGCAGACCTTGCTCAAAGTCATAACTGACTCTCCAATTCTTATGCATGCTTACTAGGCACTGGAAAACTGGGCTTCTCATTCGTGCGGATTACAGCCCTGCTCATTGCTGGCAACCGCCTCTGGGTAGGGACAGGGAACGGTGTCGTCATCTCCATTCCACTGACCGAGAGTAAGTGACATTTATTGGAGATAAATCTGCACGCGCCCCTAAAAAAAGAACGCTCTTGCCTGTTATTTGTGCAGCATGGTGGATGGCTCTGGCAGGCTGATGCTTTTGAGACGTTTTTAATGTGAACCTGACACAACTTTAATCATAGCAGCATTCAGAGGAAAGAGCCCTGAGTATGAGCAACCCTGAACTTGGTTTAACTCTTTCTTATTAAGGAATTAAGTGTTCAGTTGATTAACCTGTTTAAAACCAATTAGGTATTTGTTACTGTCCTTTTCAGTTCAGTTGAAGCCATTTCCTTCTTGGGGGACCAATAATATCTCTACCATCTGTATGGTCTTCTTTTTTAGCGTGACCTTGACAAACCAGACTGACATCAATTGATTCTGTAGCTACTGGAAAGCAGGAGAAACAAAGCTTTGGAACTGTAGTAAGTCTCCAACAGGAGGCCATGGGGTGAGAAGTCACCAGGAGGATCTCCCTGGAAATTTTATTTTGGCATAGACATCTGAACATTTCCATAACAGTATTTTCCAGAAACTGACCTTAGCAAAGCTTCATTTACTCAAATTAGGGCTCAGCTTTATCAGTCGAGTAGAATCAGTATCCTGCACCAAATCCAACCTGGTGAGGAGACCTAGAGTAGTAGTTCATAGGTGCATTTCTGGAGCTGGAAGTTTAGTTGAAGCTGTTAGTAATCCTGTTTTGTACCTGCCAGTCAGCATCTAATTTTGCAGGTGTGTTCTAGGTTATGATGGGGGGAGTAGGATTGGAGGCTGATCGCAGCTGCTTTCAATAGAAAGCAGCCCAGTTAACATTTTCTCACCACTTCTAGCAGGAAATCTGAGAAACAAATGGCTCTTGTATAAGAGGAGCAAACCTGTTGTAATCCTCCTGGAAGTCAGGGCTGAGATGGTCTCCTCTAAGGCTAGTGGAGCTGGATGAGCCTGGGGCTGACACCAGGAAGCCAGTGACACAGTCGTCTTTGTGCATTGCAATCTTGTCTCATTTCTGAATCCCTCTTCTAAAGCCCGTTCTTTCTTGGGGCTGCTGTCCTAATTCTGAGTTAAGGTTGTTCCCTGCTTTAAACTGGTTGCATTACCTTCTGGTGTTTCTATAGAAGTGTGTTAAGCAGTAAGGTCTCGCTAGGAACTTTAGCAATGGGTCCTTGTGACCATGGATCTGTCCCATCTCAGATACTACATGTGTCCTTGTAAGATAAGAGCAAAGTGAGCAAGAACAGCTTTGGTATAAACTGATCCGAGCTTGTAGCTCCTGCTGCGGTTTCTCTAGGTTTTATACATTTTTGTTGCTCCCTGAATTTTCTCCCAGTAACCACCTTTTTCTTCTCTCCTGTCCCACCTGTCTCTTCCCGTGCCCTTCTGTGTTCCCCTTCCTTGCCTGTGCCTAGCTGTAGTCCTCCACCGAGGTCAACTCCTTGGGCTCCGGGGTAAGTCCATTGCCTCCTTCCTTCAGCTTTCATTCCTTTTGCACCCATTCACTTTTGCAGTCACTTTCCTACCCTTCCATCCTGCCATTCAGCAATCTCCATCCATTTCTCTTCATCACTCTTTCATTTTAAGTTGCATCTGAGAAAAGCGACCAGAGACAGTAATGTAAATATCCTCATTTCCCATGGCTAAAAACATGTTCATCCATCTCATGAGACATCCCTCTGGGTTTTTTGGGTTGAGAGTACTTTATTCTTCATCAGTAGTTCCCTTATTGTAGTAGGCCAGGTTTGAGATGGGGACTGTGAAGGTTTATTCAGAGTTCCAGGAAGCAGGAGCAGACTGTTCTTCCCAGGTCTTCCTTGGTCATCCTTGTTTTTCCAGGTATGCTTCTCTCATCAGTTCCAGGCCAGTGGCAGTAGGTGCTGTGGTGCCTGGCAGCTGCAAGTAATCAGCCAAGACTTCTAACCAGAGGGGACTTTGATAAACATTAAGAATTATTTGGGTTTGTGCCAGTTAAGCAGGGTCTGAGTTAAAATTTGTGCTTACCTTAGCCTTTCCAGGGTCAGAATGGAGTGGTTTTTTCTCATTGTAAGACATTTCTGTGGCTATCCAGAGGCATTATCAACATACGTTTCCTCCTTTCACAGCATCTGATACTGTTTGCAGTAAGAAGCCAGACACTGAGTGAGAAGTGCTAGTACCAGCCCTGTCTGTCGGTCAGATGAGCTCTTCCAATTGTAGCTGCCCACAGCAGACCAAAGCACAGAGGTGCAGAGAGCCTTCGTCTTGGGGATCTTCCCCCTGCACACATTGATCTCATTCTTCCATTGAAATACGTGTACTTGTCTCGCTATCCTGGCTTGAGCCTGATAGGTAAAAGTCTCCTTTGTTCAAGTCGCTTCATAACTGAAATCCAGGCCCAGGTAAAATGCAGAACTACAGATAATTAACGGAGCATTTCAGTTCTGTCAGGAAGTGAAAGCCTTGTGATCTTAGTATTGTTTCTGTTTTACTGGTGTGGGTGCATGTGGAAGGAAAGGATCTCCCATCCTGAGCTCCAAGCACTGCTCTCTGTTCCTTGGTGAGTGGAAGTATGCACATTCTCAGAGCCTGGACTGAAGTATGCTGGCCTCTGAGTCCACCCTGAAATCCTTGGAAGCTGTGAATGGTGAACATCTTTCAGATGTTCATTGCTTGAGTAGCTGATCTGATGTCATAGCTAAATCAAGAACTGAGGAAGGACCTCACTCCGCTGCTGTGACATATACTGGGCTGAGAGGCCTTCACCAGACCCAGAGACTGCTTTCAGCAGCCTCTGTGCTCACAGCTTGGCATGAGCAAAGGACTTGACTTGGCAACTGAGCAACTTCACCAATCTAGAAAATAGCAGGTGCCCTTAATGTCTCATGGGTACAGTGGATACCTTTGGATACCCTGCCAGGTACAAACGACCAAGGTTGATCCTAGGACTGTAGGTCGTTTCTGGAGGCTGGACAGAATTGCTGCTGGTGAAGAGGCCTTCACTGGGACACCTCAGAGACCTTGCTTGTCTAGCTTGTCCTAGGGTCACTCTTGCCCAGCACCTCCAGGGATGTGTGCCTCACTAGTAGCCAAATACTAGATTTGATGAGAAAATGCAGTTTGTTATCATGTATGGATTGTTACCAGCCTAAGAGAGAGGTACTGTATAGTCTAGTGTGGTCTCCTCCATGACATCCTTTACACAAGACCTTTAAAGGGACCTGCACCTTTAAAGGTTTTCCTTTGTGGATCATGAGTTTTCTCTTTGACTGAGTCCCTTCTGTAAATGGGACTCAAAGCCATCACTGACAATATTTCTTCTCCCTGTCCCCAGCCAACAAGACCTCACCAACCTCTGGAGAAGGCAGCCGGTCTGGCGGAGTCATCCATGTGTACGGTGATGACAATAGTGACAAATCTGCCAGCAGTTTCATTCCCTACTGCTCCATGGCTCAGGCACAGCTCTGTTTCCATGGCCACCGTGATGCTGTCAAGTTCTTCGTCTCTGTGCCTGGTAAGGATGAGCACAGCCCTTCATTGTAAGGGTCTTGTCCCGCCATCCATTCTGTAGCAGGAGCTTGAGCTCATCTGCAGCAGGTGGCTGTCCATGCTGTTTCTAGCTCTTGTGGACCCCCGTGGCTCA